AAAAAAAAAAAAAAAAAAAAAAACGGGAAAGAGAAGTAGGTCGCTGTGTAAATACGTTCAAAGATATTCATAATATTTTTCTTACGAGAACGAAGCTCTCGATTTTAAAAAGGAAGTTTCACTTTGTTCGATTTTCACAGGTAAACGCATAGAAGAGGAAGAATAGAAGGTTGCTATGTAAAAAAAGAATACATAGACATTTATAATATTTTTCTTTCGAAGCAGCAGCTTTTCGTTTCAAAGAACTTCATTGAAAAAGTACGCTGAATTAATCGTATCGTAAAAATTGTCAGACTACAAAGAAAAAATGACAAGCGTAAAGAAAGCGAAGAAGAGTATTATATAAATCAATTCACAGACGTTTATAGTGTTTCCTTCTTTTCTTCTGAAAATGAAGCTTTTGATTTCAAAGAGTTACGAAGCATATTGATTTAATATCCACGGAAGCACAACCGTAATGTAATTCGTACGAAGGAAATAGAGAATTTTCTAGCTAAATAATTTATCCGTCGCGAATATTCTTTCATTCAATCGTCGAGAGATAAATGACTAGCTCTGCTCGATTAACAGGTCGAAAGAAGTATCTCATTTAGCGAAATTAAATAACATAATCGAGTATCAATTAAATACGTAACGATGAAATGGTTGAATAGATCATGCTGCTGACAAGCCTGCGCGTGACAGCGCTGGCAAAAACCCAGCCAGAGACTCCGTTCGTGCAAAATGAGGGTGAAAGATAAAGACAGAAGTACGTGCTTCTGCAGGACTGAATAAAAACGTACACTTGACTCTCCTTAACGTTTTTCAAGCCCTGATTCATGTCGTCGGTGATCTCTTTCCAAACGCTGATGCCCAGCTTCCTCTTCAGCTCTTGAGAGACTCTGATCTTGTTCGCCAACACGTGCCTCAGGGTTTGAATCTCCTCTTCCACCTACGACACGCGGCTTCTTCAGCTTCTTCGCGAAATAGTTAATCGTTCATGCTCGAGTTTCTCTTTTGCGCTGAGACTTTTCGGTAATTAAGCGTAAAAAATTCGAGAAAAATATGTCGAATGTATATATTATTTGCAGTTTATAAAGGGAATTGAGCTATGTGAATATCAATCCGCCATAATCGATAATAGTGACATTTTTATTCGTAAAATTATTGTATTTAATAATTGCAAAAACGTTTGCGTCTATTGAGAATTATTTTTCCAATGAGCAAGGGAATTAAAGATTCAACGCAAATGTTCTCCAACGAAATATACTAAATAGTAGTAGCCATAGTTATGTAGAGGATGTCTAAAAGGTTGAATAAAAATATAGCTACAATTTTTTATAAATTTGCATAACCATCGTAGCTCGATAGCATGATCGTTCTATTTGAAATACAAGTGCGCATATTTACGTTGTAATTAATAATTTTCCAAAATCCATCTTCTATCTTTGAAAACGTGTTTGAAAAAATACAACTAGTTGAAGAAGAATAAGGACCTTGAGTATGTATAGCATAAAACTGTCTTCGCGGAATTAATTGAAATAGATCTTGTAGCCAGTGAATTTCTTGCTGGTCATATTTCACAATTCTAGCTATTTCAGTGCTTTAAACGGAATGAAAAAGCGTGGCAAGTACGTACCTTGGCCAGTTCCGCGCTCCATTCCTCCTTTTGGCGATTCTGTTCTTCCAGAGAGAGTCCTTGCAGCTCGTTCACTACGTTATCTGACGTTGGCGAGATGTAATCGGCCGAGTGAAGAGTCGCGTCTTCTCCTGAAACCCCCAAAAAGCATTAGAGAAAACGGTTTCGTTGCACGAACGTTAAATATTATACATAAAATATTCAAAATACGCTTAGATTCCATAATGGTAAAGGCGTGGAACAATAAACACCAAAAGCGTTGTTTAACAATTATTTAAACAATTCTGTCCGAAGTCAGCTCTGTACGGTAGAATATAAACTTTGAACGAGTGAATTCAGTCGATAGAAATTTGGTAAATTAAGTAGTTGCGAAATTTCGTTCGTCTAAATAAAATTGTACATGCTATGTACGCAACTGGACAAGTCAAAAAGACAAGTCGTATCAATATCGTTCGTATTCGATTTAATTCATTGCTCGATTTTATTACGAATAATCGGTCCAAATCGAGGAATCGGTCAACGTGATCAGACTCACGGATATCATAAAAATAGGACGTAAAAAGTTACGCAAGTGTACGACCGCCGTAATCGAAGGCGAATGGATCATTGCCATTTTATTGATCGTGTTACGATTAGTCATAGCCTCTCGAATCGCAGATGCTGGTCTCTTCTTACATAGAGAGTTAGTTACATTGTTGCTATGTTAGCTGTTGCAGTAGTCTGTTTACCTTAGTTATGACTTTTCATGAAATCATCGTGTCAGATTTTTACGTTTTCTGATATTGATATTTTTAGAATCTAGCTTTTCCTGGCACAACTGTATCTAATCTTGTGTATCTATCGATAATTGTTCGACAGAATAAAGATAAAGCGAAAGAAAAGCGTCTACAAAGGCTCGTATTATATTTAAACAGGAAGTTAATATAAAATACGCGCTACTAATGATATCAAGAGATATACATATATATATATGCACGGCTTTCCGGTTTACGTAAACGATTGCACCAAATTAAAAATGTTCAATTAACGAAAAGGAAATCCGGAAATTCCGCGCAATAACATCGCGAAACTCTGCATTTCACGTGAGAAACAATTTACGCTGGGTGAAAGTAATAAAATGGCCGTGAAAATCCGTGAAATCGGCGGATAAAGCAGTTTTTCTACGTTTTCACTGATAGCACGACGATAGTAATTTTACCGTCTCTAATCTGTGATTTATATGATTTTTCAACGATTGTAAAATGACGCGAACCTGAGATAATTATAAGTTGACACGTGCTCTTTCTTGTGGCAAAAGGTCATAGTCTTCTTTACAAGACAGATAATAAAATAAAGCATGTATAAGGTGAAGTTGCTATTTGCAGCAACAACGAAAAAACAAGACCTTGCAGTCATTAATAATGCCAATAACGCTTCAATAATAATGCTTAGTAAGAAAGATTCGCAGTCAGTTATAAAATTTATTTTAAAATGTTCTTGATTTTTATTTTACATTTCCGCCTGTGTCTTCGATGGTAGTAGCGATCTGGTGAAACTACGTGCGTAAAAGTGTTAATCTCTGTGATAATTAGTCACCGTGAAAGACAAACTTCGCGTAAAGCGTGCAAAATTTGTGGCAACAATCTTCACGATTCCTTGAAAACCAATAAAACGTCTTTCTGCTGGTACAAGAGAAGCGGTTTCAAAGATATTTCGATGTCTAAATTTTAGGCTGCGAAGATAAGAAACGGATTAGATAAGCGGCTCGTCTTGTTATATATAAACACACGATTTTTCTACGAGACACGAAGCCCGACGTTAAGGGATTAATATTCAAGAAGCAGCGCTTATTTATGCGATGAGACGCGTGAAGTGTAACAAACAAGCAAGTAGCTTCGAAAATGTCGATAATATCGGAAAGCATTATTTTCAGAAGAATCGAATATTTAGGAACGCATCACAGATTTCAGGACATATTTTTCGATTAATGGTTCAGAAATATATCACGAGCCGAATCGGTGAATTTCTTACATAAAATTACAAATTTCATCGTATAAATTTCACGTCAACTCTATTTAAAAATAGTTCTTCGTGCTATTAATGTTTTCCTAACCATACATAGATAGAAATAAAAAATAGATTCATCGACTATCGAAATAATAGCTTCGAAAGCTAAAAATACAATCAACCTACGAGTACGCGTTGCGTTTCATCGCAAATCTTCATTGATACAGCACTCACAACATACAAATATAAATTTACCGCCGAAAAGATACAAGCTCGACATTGCTTCGTTTCTCCAATGTTTTTTTTACGACGGAACAAGTGCACGAGGGAAATTTATCGCGACAGTAACATCCTTTGCCTCTAAATAAAATACAAAAGTAGTTTCTTGTCATTACCAAAATGGTAGCGTAACGTTACCCTGGTGTACCGTTGCCCGTCGGTATTCCGTGGAAGCAATACCACGAAGCGTTGATATAGTTCTCACTTTCATATCTTGCAACATCGTTCTACTTTTTATGGCCGTTTATATATGCATCTACCGGTTCCAATCCACAATTCGCGCAAGAGCGATAAATATCCCCGTGAAACAACAGCTTGGAGCCGGCCCCGAAAAAATATTTTACTTCGAACTTCAATCGGACGTCTAAAACACGCATAAGCTATAAATCTGCAACGAATACGTGTATTTAAAGCAATACTTTAGTCCAGCTGGGAATTTTCAACGCAAGCGCATCGCGTGACCGCCATCTATCTACACACGATCTAAACGAGCTCGATCTCGACCGTAAATAACGCAATTATGTACAACACTCGTAAATTTATAGGGCGCCGGATCTCATAATCGAAACACACATATCCAACGAGGCGATGTGATCGACGTATCGATCGATCTGTTGTTGTTAAAAGTAACGATAAATAATAACGAACTGTTTTACCGAATAAGAGGAACAAAACGTTCGAGAGAAGAACCGGTACAAGATACGATATTATGTACTTCGCTTCGGAATAATTTGTAGAGGTTTATGTGTAGAGGGCGGTTGGTCGGTAAGGTTTAATGGACGAGATCGCTCGTTGTTGAAACCATCGAATATATTTAAAATGATAAATTAATATACAGATAATGCTCGCAAAGACGCTCGTACTAACCGATTCGCTAAGACAGTGCATAAGTCGTAAAATAAGACCGCTAGTGACTCGTTAATTAAATCGCTGATAATTCGTTGATAACTGATCGACAGTCAGTTGACTGTAATTCCTTTCCTTGCGATCGCGTCCGTTTATTTATACTGGTCGGAGGAGAACCGGAAAATTCGAATTCGTCTGCGTTTGACGGTTATATGTAGCGGCGACATTGTTTTGCCCGGAGTTTATTTGTTCTTACGTTACTTATAACCTAATGGTCTCGATACTTCGAGGCAAAACAACAACGTGATTTGAATCATGTGCCGCTACAAATTTATACGTTGGACTGTACCATTCTCGCGAATTATATGCTGCACCTTTTACCAACTCGAGGAACTTCTTGTAATTTTGGCTGTTGCTGATCTTGGCCAGATACGGCTTCGAGAAGTCCTGGAATATCACTCGAACTGATTTCCTCTTTTTCTTTCCGTGACCAGTGGCGCCGTCCTCGCCGTCAGGCGTCAAAAACTGCGTCTCCACCGATAGATTCGCATCGTCAACCACGATCTCGTCTATATCACCGTTCGAGTCCCGCCAGCAATGGACAATAATTTCGTCCGCATCGTCGCTCAGCTCGTCTATGTCGTCGAAGCTGGGAGTTGCAGTTAAATTCGAATAATAAACGTCTTCCTCGTACTCCAGCGACTCCAACTCGTGTTCGTTTTCACTCGAGCAATCCTGTTCACCGTGGCCCGTACACACTCTCGATCTCGTACTTTGTTTCGAAGAACCTCGGCGATCTTCGACTTTAGCCTGGTCCTGTTTAACGTCCGGCATATCGGTTTTCATGTCAGCGGAGTTACTCGTTTTTCTTTCTTCTCGAGGTATCGAAGCGAAAGTTTAATTATCATTCGATTCGTTCACTTGCTTATCTGTTTATTTATTCAATCTCGATCGAATACGTTAGACTAGTTGACAGCAAGGTTCGTAGAATAAACGGACGAATGAAACGCGAAACAGCCACTTTTGACCAGTTCGTTCGATCGAGATTTAACGTTGCAAATAGAAAACTCCCACGACATTGCGAAATTGTCAAACGTTTTTATGTCTAATTATCCTTTGCATCGAAGATCGTTGATAAAATGCTTGTCATGTCGAATGAAACGTCCTCTTACTGGATATCGCGTCTTTGTTCCTTCGCTACCGGTAAAACGACTTCCTTCTAAAAACTGTTTACCGTAACCGCGCCAGTCCCGCTAATAAAACCATTTGCACAACTGATCCGTAGATCACACCACAGCGATTATCCCCGTAACGATCTACGAATTAAACTAAAGTTTTTCGTCGGAAGCGCTGGTCTCACTTTCGTGAACAGCACGGTGACCAATCACGCGTCTCGCGCGTAAACAATTTTGGTTGAAGTTAGGTGTCGCACACATCGAAAATTGCCGCGAAGAAACTTCACCTCTTAAATCCAGGGTTTTCCATTCGAGTAACGATTAACGACGATTCGCTAAAACTTTTTTGCCAACGATCCGAACGACCACGTGCGTCGATCGCCGCGTGCAGACGACGATCACAGCTGGCACGATCACGCTTCGTTTTCCCGACGCGAACAGATCGCGAGTTTCGAATTTGACCAACCACGGCGCTAGTATCACCCGGCCACGTATCCACGAAGGAAAGAAATCGCGGCCAGTTATTTACCTGTTCCTCTTTCGAGAAGGTGAAAGAGGAAGGGACCTAGGGTCCCCACCATTTCCTACTTGCTAGTCCCTCCGTCTTTCCTTGCAACTGATGTTGTCTCGCGTGGCGAAATAAAATCTTTCTCGTTCGTCAATTTCCATTTCTACTTCGAATTGGTGACGATATTCGTACTAAACTTGGCATTTAAAGATTTAACGAACGTTCATGATACATAATTCTCTTTCAAGCTCGCCATATGCGACGCGGAATATGCCCAGAATCAACGATTAAACAGCAATAACGCTCGCTTTTATGTTCATTGACTTGTTTCTAGGTATTTCGCGCACCAGGAGAAGATGACTTTTGCTACGAATTCGATAAATCGATTCGATTATTTTCCTCTCACCAACTTCACGTTGTGCAACATCGCGTAAGTAAATACGAATTCCACTGGCATCGAAAGGTAAAAGGACGGTGTCCGTTAGTCTTTAAGATAAAATAATTTTTGTACTTTTAGCGCGTGATAATGCGCATACACGCTTCTCAAGGATCTTGATCGAGGATAAAAAAGATGGATTGGGGATAAAGGAAAAAAATACGCGTCTGTTCCTACCAAGGATCTCGTTGGATGAGGATGACGGAACGGAATCTTCAACGGTTCGATGACCCTGCTCGGATATTGAATTTCCTCTTGCGGTATATAAAAATACGGATGAAAAGTGGCGTTAAAAGGAACTACCGGTTTGAGAGATCTTTTTCGGTTATATAAAATTTTTATAGTACTGATAGCATCGATAGCGAGTGAAAGTCAATTACGCTTATGTAACAATTCTTTCTTTTTTTACTATAAAAAAATGTTCTCAAAGTTATTAATTTTAGATCCTGTAGGAAACGTTCGTGTTACATTAAAATGTAAAATTTCAATGCAGAGTTATTTTCGTTTAGAGCTTACTCGTTATAAAGTGCAGTATTGAGTAGGTTGCGCGCGGTAAAAATGTGCAATGTAACAGAAGAAACAGAATCAGTTCTAAAGTAGCGTTAATTTAGTGCTGGCAAAATAATCTACATCGTAGACAGGAAGTATTTCACCATTCTTACGATGAATTCTTACAATTCATTTTCAATGAAATTCCATTTGAAAACTAGATTGCGCGTATCAAATTGCAACACGACGTTCGATCCACCGACAATTTGTTAAAAATTCATATACCTAAAGAGCCATCAGCCTTCCCATAAAATAACAAACAGAGTAAAAAGAAATGATTAATTCTGAATAAACATGCAATATATTGAATTATATAGATATAATAGCGTTTAAAGGTCTTTAACACGCTAGCTATAAAAACAGGACAAAGAACAAATAGGAAGCGTGACAAATAGGGATATAACACGTATTTTCAATACCGAGAACTCGGAACGAAGTTTGATAGGACGGGATCTACGTGGAACCGGTTCATCCGCTTCTTTCGTTTCGATGTAGTTCTAAACGTGACCCTCTCTCGGTAACAGGAACCTCAAGGTTAACGGCTGGTTGTCGTAATAATGCACGGATGAAGTGACCGATCGTTTGGAAATATTAAAAATTCCATTGCCGTTCTACGATCGTGTAATTATTATTTCGCTACAGATATCGAACAGCGATAGGTGTCGAACGAATCCTGCTTTCCATTCCTGCAAACGTGATTTATCGAAATGGGTCGCAGAGTAGATTCGATATAGTGACCCAAGTCCTGCTTTTGTATAATTGAGTTTAGTATAGATTAGCGGATGCAATAAACCTTAACGATCAAAGACAGCTTACGTCTATCTTTCGATATTTTAATATCGTGACAAACAATTTCTAGAAAAATGGCTAGATCAATATGTACGTGTTTACGAGCGTGTTTTTCTTCTGATGTTAAACAAATATTTATTTTATATTCGGAAAGGGATAGCTTTCTCGTAATACAAAATATATATTCCCTGTATATTCGTAAAAGATGTTAGTTTCTTAATGTGGAATATAATACTGCGTGTATATTTATACGTTAAAAGAAGAATTGAATCCCTTTCTAACATCGTACGAATATGTGTTCGATATTTTGCGCCAGCAGGATAGCTGCGAAGTTAAACTTATTTTTATCTTAATAACGAGGAGCGTCTCCTGTTCTCCAGCGGAACGTTTCCTTATTTCACTATCGAAACGCAGAAGGTAGAACGAATACTTGGGATTTTTCGCGAAGCAACGAATCAGTTCGAGGACCTTACGTGCCTTCAAGTCGACCGAAACACGCGATGTCGGAATTACGGTGGGCAGGCCCGACGTTAGTTCAAGTAAAGATCGATAAAACTGCCGTGCTAAGTATTCGCGATACTAACAGCTTGCCGTCCAAGTCAAAGTGGCAAGTGAACTTTCTCAACGGTCTGAAGTTACGCTTTATAAGTTTCGCTTTGGCCGGTATCGATGCTGCGACCATCTTTTAATAAATTGCTCGCCGAGCGAATTTCGCTCAACCAGGCTTCGGACAATTCAGCTAACGTGAAAGCGGAATGAAAAAGAAAGACAAAAAGATAAAAGATGAAAGTGGAATTCGAGGTGTAATTTGCGCCGATGAGTACGCTTTCTAAGCGAGGAGATCGTTTGACGTATTAGCTATTGAATCGAAAACGCGGGAATTCGGGCGGCTAGAGAATTATGGTCTTATTAAGAGAAATGGAACTTTTTTTAGAAACGTGAAATTAATTCTACCTCGTTAGAAAATCGAGAATATCCTCGCATCTAGCGAATCGGCTGCGATGAAAATTTTGCCATTTATTAAACGTTGCAAAAAAGTACTAAAATACTTTGGATATTTTTCTACAATATATTATTCTACAATATTTATATTATTGTGTGCGTTGTATTATGTGCTGTGTATTTCTGTCACTTTAAATTGCTCACAAATGCACGAAAATCCACTACTTAGTGATGAAAGTATGAATGCTGGTTGCAGAAATTCTCTTCGATAACATTTGATGCGAGGAAATTAGTTCGATTATTATTCCTACATATTTAAATGTCAGGTAAAGTTTCTTAAACTTCTCCTATGAAATGTAATGTATATGTACGTTTTTTTAGATGAATAATATGCAGTAATTTATGCATTATACGCGCCAGATGGCACGTTGCATGGGCAAGCAATAACAGCAATATTATATTAGCACGACAGAGGAACGGCTATTGAATGTGCAAGGGAAAAGCGGACAAAAAGTGAGATATTAAACGGGACGAGTGCTATACACTTAAACTCGTTGTCGGCAGAACGTTTTGCCTTTAATTAATTTGCAGTGTGATTGAAGACGGTATCGTGGCTTTGATTTTCTCTCCTTTTCATATTCGAGGGGCAAATTTTTCTACGCTATTCATAAATCATTAATATTTTGAGAGAAAATGGAGTAAAGTATGTTGACGAATTTTTTTCGATAAGCGTTTAATATCGCGTTAAATACAGGAAATAAACTTAAGACCTTATCGATGATCATAATATGAGTGAAGTATGTATATCGCGTAAGTATGTATTCTATACTGGATCAGATTTTATTCTAAAACATTGAATCTCTCAAGAATGAGAATACTTTCAATGTTTGGTTATTACCATTGAAAGTCCTTGATGAGTTTGATAAACGAAAATATTTTGTTTAACACTATGTTGTACTATATGTAGAAGCAGTTAATCGAGTGGCTGTCTCTAACTAAGAAATATAAAAAGATATATTTTATATATTCTCGAAAACCGCGTTGCTACTTCAGCTATTTGGAATTTTTGTTTTACGGTCTACGGATCACAGACATATTTGCGCATCCACGTGAAACCGAATCTGAATTCTACTCTTTGACTTAGAAACGCGAAGTCGAGAGAATATCACGAGTTCACTTCGTATGGGAACTGAAAATCGACGACAATATTTCTATTTGCTACCATTGCATATCGAATTGACGTCAAAGTAAATGTCGTTAATTAAAAAATTAGATATTCGCGTGAATTTTAATAGGCAAAATTAAATTAATTTTAATCTTGCGATAACAACATTTAATCGATCTTTTTCTGCCATTTTTCACGCAATGAATTCATGGTGGAGAATACAAAAACCGATAATCAACTGCTAAACAAGCGTATGCAAGCATAAAGATGAAATCGTTTAAAGTACACGTTACAATGGAGCACGTAATTGAGAAACCTTCAAACTATAGTTACCTTCTAAATTTGCCACTGAAATCCTAACCGGCAATTATTTCTAACAAAGGTTTCTGTAACGTCCATGACTAAAACAATTACACTGGAATGTAGATTACGAATCTGTGAATGTTGACTTTCACTTCTACTTTTTATGCAGCTGCACAGGAATGAAAAATGGGAAAAAAGACAATATTTTCTTTATAAGACAAAACGTTAGATTCGGCTAAAATCAAATTCCTATTTCTCTGTTATGTTAGAGAAACTCTATGTTAACTTCTCTTATTTGTATTAACAAGTTAAGAGTCTTTTATCCCACTAAAAATTTCTTTTAGATTCAAACTAAAACGACGAGATCGAGATACGAGAAATCGTAGAACCGTAGAAAAATTAATAACAAAGACGATGTATAAAAATCTTAAATCTTGTTATTAAAATAATAATTATTATTTTACGTATTGTAAAATCAAATGCAAGAGAGTCTCCGATATTTTCCAGTGAGTTTTCCTTTCTATATGTGTAAGAATAAAAATATATATATTTCTCTATATATATCTTAAGTAACATGTTTTGATTTAGTAAAAATGTAACATTGTAAAAGTACAAGTACGATGCAATTTTACCAAATTATTAAATGCCAATTGTGGCAAAAAATAACTACATCGGAATAAACAAAAAATAATCTAACAGTGTAGATAATGTTTCGTAGTGTTCTATGAGGTGAAAGAGTAATGGTTGATAAAAGCACTGAGCATAACAAGTTCACTTACGACTAATCAGATTATGCAATAGATCAATGTTTGTACATAACCAATTATCTTCCTTGCGATTTCAAGAACAAGTACGCATACAGTAGAAAATTTATGTTGTTTCACGAAGCGTATATGAGAAGCGATAGAAGAGAAATAAAAGTTATTTGTATAAAAAAGAGGAGTCATAAATAGGATGCAGGAATACAATCTCGTTTCTTTATGAATTTAAAGATAAAAATTGAATAATAATTCAGATATATCTCAAACTTTTTAATTGAATCGTTTACTTTACGTTAACTAATTAATTACGAAGCTAATACAATAAAGTAATAAAACATGTAAGTACAGATATTGAATTTCTATTTGAGATAGTCGTAATTTTCAGAGTTAAACAAGCGTTTATACAGCGAGAAGGACAATGAAATAATTTCTTAGACTTCTTGTCAAATATCTGTCTGTATTTTTAAAAACAACGAAACAATGAAATATTCTCTTCTTTCTCCTACATCGTTCCGCTTTAGTAACGGAATTAAAAAAAAAAAGAAAAACAAAATTAGACTGTGTTAATAAAATATGCTACCAAGTCAATATATTTTCGCAAGTTCGTCTTTTAGAACTGTTCTATTGCTTCTGACATGTCGTATATTTTTCGGGCCAAAGTATACAATGACGTATCGGCGACTTGGTTCGAAGTAAAATAATCAACAATTTGTTTATTTTGCAGAAAGAATTGTGAGGTTGTCGTACATAGAAAATCGATCGTGTGTATTTTGAAATTTCTAACAATAGAAGGAACATCAAGCCTACGAAAATACGAAGTTACTAGTACAACTGCCGCATGAAAATAACCACACAGAATTTGCTTTCGCGCATTGTGTGAAACAGTGAAAGCAATAATATGGCGGAAGAGGAACCGTCGTCGAAACGTCGATACACCAAAAATCCTGTATTGTTCGGCAAGAATCGCGTTCAAA